AAAAAAAAACAATTATTTACCTTCGCCTTTTTCTTTAGCATCAGCTGCTACTTCGTTAGCTTTATCTTTTACTTCTTCAACTTTTTCGCTACCTATCGAATATGTAATTAGTTTTTATAGTTTCAATTAAATTTTATGTCTACCTTTATCCATAGCATGACCGACGACTTCAGTTACTACAAAATAAATAAGTGCAAAAATATTTTTCTTTCGTGGTTTTTCTTATCTAATAAAACTTACCTTTGTTCTTAGCATCAGTAGCAGCTTCAGCAAGACTAAATAAAAACAAATGATAAAAAGAAATGAAAACTATTTTTTAAATCAACATTACCTATGTAATGCTTCTCCTGCTGAATTAATAACAGCTGTACCAACTGCAGCTGCTGTGTCTGCTGTCTATAAAAAAAGAGCAAGAAATAAAAAAAAAAGTTTTTTTTTCTATATAAAGTATTTACCCATTGTCCGGCAGCTGCAAGTTTTTCACCAACTGAACTAGCAGCATCAGCAACTGCTCCTGGAATGGCATTAACGGTTTCAACAGCCTAAAAATAAATAGAAATTTAAATTAAGAATATAAATCGAGTTTTCTTCTTCATACAGCATGACCAATTTCTTGTGCTTTTTCAACGGCTGCATCTTTAGCATGTATAGCTGATTCAACAATTGTAGTTTTCGCTTCATCTGCTTTTTGAGTTGCATCATCAACTAATTGCGCTCCAGCTTCTTTTGCTTGTTCGGTCTTTTCATGTGCAACATCTTTTGCTTCACTTGCTGCTTCTTTTGCAGCATCTTTCACTTCATCAACTTTCTTCGAGGCATCATCAGCTAATTGTGCTCCAGCTTCTTTTGCTTGTTCAACTTTAGTTTCTGCAGCGTCTTTTACTTCACCAGCTAGTTGAGCACCTAAGAAAATATTATGTGAATTTCAATAATAAACTATTATTTTTATTTTTTTTAATCATATGGAAAGGAAGCTTTCGTCTGTTGAGAATTTTCTGATGAGAAAATTTTTCCCTTGGGTTATTAATAAATTGCTGTTTTTTTTTACCAGAAAAAAAATACTTTCTAATAAGAGTTAATCTTCATTTGAATAAACAATCATTCTTTTTTCTGTCATTAAAGATATTACATATTTATTTATTTAATTAAATATCTAAAAAGACCTTACCAGCTGCTTTAGCATCATCTGCGGTCTTTTGTGCAGCATCTTTAACATCAGCAGCTTTTTCTTTAGCTACATCAGTAACTTCACTTGCTGCTGCTTTAACTTCAGCACCTGTTATAGATAAACAAATAAATAATATTAGTCAGAATAATTCGTCACCTGTTTGTTCGGCATCATGTTTTAACTGTTGAGTAGCATCTTGTCCTATTTGAAAGATTAATAATCATCAATTATTAGATATTATATAATAGTAAAGTATTTACCTTCAACTTTAACTGTGGATTGTTGTTGTGTGTCTGACATAGTTCTCTGTCTGTGTACTTGCGAATAGAATTGCGAAATAAGAAAATCTGGAAAAAATCATAAAGAATAGAAACATTTTGCCCTTTCCTATTCTCGGTCGTGTATCCAAAAATATATTTCTCCTGAACAATACATAGCACACACGGGAGCTGATATCTCATCTCTGGTGATGAGACGAACAGATATATCCACACCCCTAACATTGCTCTTTATATACACAGATATCTTTGCATATATAGAAGAGAAAAAAAGATCGACATTCAGACACTAGTCAGCCGATACAGAGCGTATGACGCGAATGACCTGAGTACTATATGTAAAAGAACAGGGAAAAAAACAAAAAATTTGTTTACTGCTTTTCCTTCTCCTACGATACGGCTGCATATCTTATTTTTTCACTGAGTAATTTTGTCTTTTTCTCTTGCTTGCTTGCTAACAAAAACTATATATCAACAGTATTGTCTAGCAAGAAAAGAAAATAAACAAGTTCTTATCAGAAATGTTATTCTTAATAGTCATCTCACGCAAAATACTAGCGACGCAATGCGCGTATATTTTCGTTAGTTCGTCATTTATCTATTTTAAAATTTATATAATAAAAAAATATGTGTGTGTGTGTGTATGTGTGTACCTATTTGTCAATACTAAATGAAAAATAATAATAATAATATTTTTATTTCGCTTATTCAATTATAAGATAGAAAAACTATTAGATTGTCAAATGTTTTTTTCTATTTATCGAATAGCTAATTGATCATTAATTTAATTGTATGTACTTTAGTAATGCTTAACGTGCAAATAATTATTTATTTATAAAATGAAATACGATCGAATATATAAAATATCATGTGAGCGTCTAAGACAATCAATGAGATGCCTTTTGGATATAGTCGACCCTGTTTAACAGTTAGTATTATAAATAAGAAAAACAAATATTAGTATACGGATATAATATTATACTTTTAGTATTAGCTCTTTTCTTACTCGGGTTTTGTTTTTGTTTTAGGTATATTAGAATTTAATCCTCAATTAGCAGGTCAAGATATAACTCCAGCTAATCTTGAATTTGGTTCAACAGCATCTCGACGTCGTGATCGTCGTGAAAAATCTTTCAGTGGTGCCTCTATTTTTTATGGTAATTTGTCTTGTAATATAATACTTGTTTCTTGATGCAATTTCATTCTAGGTAATCAATCATCATTGAATGCAATTCATAGATCGTCATTTACAGCAGCTCCTGATGATTTAGTACCATTGGTATGATATAGAAGAAAACAAAACTAAGAGTTTTTTATTCTATAAGAGAATTTCTTTTAGACAAATCAATCACAAACACTTGATGCATATCAATCAAGTATAGAATATCGACTACAAGAATTAACTAAGTAAGAGAATGTTTTTGTTTTATTATATTATCATTATTTTCCTTTTTTTTCTTCTAGACGATTAACAACATTAGAAACAAAATTAACTGAAGATGTATCTTCTGTACTTATGATTCTTCAACGACAATTTCCAACTGACTCAACAATTTCATTATCATCTTCTGAAACATTGAAAGCTAATAATTATTAACATCAAAAAAAAAGAATTTTTTTTTTCTGTGATAATATCTTCTCTTTTAAGTCTTCTCTTTTACATATATATATATATATATAAATCTTAAACTGATAAAAAAAATTCTAAACAAAAAAACAAAAAATATTTATTTAATGAATACATTTTATCTTCGTTCGTTTTCTTCTTCTTCTTCTTTCTCTGTTTGTGTTTATTAACGTCCGTCCTTTTGTTACCTTGTTCCTTTACAATGACCGATAGCAATATGTATTTGTATGCATGTAAATTAAATACAATAAATGATATTCAAAAAAACAAAAATCAGTTAAAAACTATGTTTACAGATTGATCGAAAGTCAATGAATAGAACTATCATCTATTATTATGATTTAAACCAGAATAGTCTATATTGATAAATTATATGATGCGTCAGACAGTCTGTCAACAACATGTCAATATATATAACAAGAAGAAAACAATATGCCACATATTACTATGAGTTAGACCTTTGTATTTTGTATTCATTGAAGGGCACTAACACTTACGATTATACAAATAGGAATAATAAATATATCTTAATGTAATTTGTTGGGTAAAGATTTTTGTTTATACAATATAATAAAAACGAATTATATCATGTAATCGATTTGAAGATTTTAGTTGACCTTTATTTAATAGACAAGTTTTTTATCCAAATTATTACTTGAATATCAATAAGATTCGCTAATGAGTATGATGAATGACATTTGTACAATAGTATAGATAAAAAAAGAAAAATATCTAACCATGAATTCTAGTCGAAGGGTAGGTGGTCTAGTACCATACTGACTTGTCATTAAATGTTAGCGTTAATTCTAATAGTATTACATCAAGATGGTAAATGATAGTTCGATTGATAAGAATATAATGAGAATTATATGCTTTCAATTTAATCAAACGGTACGCATTGATTATATATAGATCAAACCCTACAAGTAAAGTTTATTTGTAATGATAATTAGATCACTTTATACTCATAATATATATATACATTCAATATAGTAGGGTAGCCAGGGGAGAAGCAAATATCCATTTCATTTGGAAATTTGTTTTTTCGTCGATTTGAAATACACGTGTACTCTTATTCTCGTTGGTGTTTGAATTTGAAATAGAGACACTAAAATATACCTAACTCGAGCTTAAGATCTGAGTTTAATGCATGTTTAATAAAAAGAATCTCATTTCATTTTTTTTCTACGTTATCAGTACTTTGCTAGAACAAAACGTTTTGATCGATTAATAAAAATCTTGCCCCATCGTTTTTTCTAACACAAGAGAAGTTTGCCCATTATTCTGGCTACGCCGTTGACTCAATAATAATACGCCCTCTATCCTCTTCTCTTTATCTCGTAGAGCAAAACATCCAATTAGTTTTCTTTACCATTGAAAATAAAACTAATGACATCTATTGTACTAGAATTGATTATTTTATTAAACACTAGAAACATTATTGAATAATTATAAATATTGAATAAAATATTTTTATATATACAATTTATTATCTTATCAATTGGTTAACATCGAATCAACGAATCATATTTGATGTTCAAAACACAAAGCAAACCTTTTCGTATTTAGTTGAAAAACCTCTTAAAAAGTTTATTAATCTTTCAATAAAAAAAAAAATCAATATGTGTGATTTTCTCGTACATCGTACTCATTTATATAAACCACGTCTTTCATCTATATTAAGTTTATCTCATCATTATCATAGTTCATCATCAAATCATTTATTAGCTGTACTTCGTTCTGATCATTCAATTGAATTATGGAATACTCATGATTCATTTACACTTGAACGTACAATTCAACCACGTAATGCTTCACATTCACCTGAACTTGTTCTATGGCTTGAACAATATTTAATTACAGCTGGTCTTGATGGACAATTAATTGCATATGATCCGATAACATTTGAAATTTTAACATCATGTCATGCAGCTGGTGGAGCAATTTGGAGTCTTGCAAAACATGAAATAACTCGACGAATTGCTGTTGGAACTGAAACTGGTCATGTGAATATTTATCAACTTGATGAAGTAAAGAATTTTTTCTATTTAAAATAATATTAAAGAAAACGTTTTTTTATGTAGGATGCAAGTCAATTTTCATTAGCTACATCTGTATGTAAACAATCTGCACGTATTGTTTCATTAGCATGGCATACAACTGATGATGATTTTCTTGTTGCTGGAAGTATAAATAGAATTTATATATGTTCAACAAGACAAAAACGTACTATTCAACAAATTAATGTTGGAAAATTATCATCAACATCAAATAGACGTGGACAAAAAGATACCATTATTTGGTGTTTAGCAGTAACTGATGATTACACAGTTTTTAGTGGAGATTCATCAGGTCGAACATGTGTTTGGGATGCAGTTTATGGAACATTAATTCGGTATGTTATTACGATAAATCAAATAAAGGATTGAGATTTAAAATATTAATTTTCTATTAGATCATTTCAAACTCATCGTGCTGATGTTCTTTGTATGACGTTATCATCGGATGAACAAACATTATTTTGTTCTGGTGTTGATTCTGTTATTGTTCGTATCGAACTTGTCTCACCAAAATCCGAAACAACGACAACGACATCAACAACAACAACAACGACTGATTCAACAAAACAATGGATAAAAACAATATCAATTCATTCACATTCACATGATGTTCGATCATTAACATTAATTCCATCACGTTTTGCTTCCATACGTAATAAAGAACATAATTTAAGTAATAAATTAATGTTAATATCAGGTGGACTTGATGCACGTCTACTTGTTCATGATATTGTTCGTGATAATTCTAAACCACCTGTTTTATGGCGCAAATGTTTTAATTTTACTCAACATCGAAATAAAATTTATCAGAAAGGAAATTATTTTCTATTTACATATAGAGATTATATTGAATTATGGTCAATAGGTAAAGAAGGTGGTGTTAATGATAATGGAGAAGATATACTTGAACGAGCACCAAAAAATCTCGTACAAATTAAAACAAAACATCAAGCACGTGTTGATACAGTTGCTATGACTGTAAAAAAAAGTAAAGATGATGAACAAGTTATAATAGCTATGGGAGATACGAATGGTTTACATGTTTATGTTATTCAAGGTAATCTTAATTTAAGAATTATTAATAAAAAATATCGAGAGAATTTGTTTAGGTCTTGATATTCAATCTCAATTGAATGTAACACCAATAAAAACATATTCCGATGAACAAAATATTGAACAATCATTTTCTTCCATTACAAATTTACTTCAACTACGTTTTCATTCATCATCATCATTATATGCTTTAACATCTCGTAGTCAATTATATTGTTTTTCAACATCATCCTATAAACTTAATCGAATTATATCATGTTTACCATCAACACTTCGTTTTGAAGTATCATCAAAATATATCGCTACAGCAGATCGTTATGGTCATGTAACAATTTATTTAAATTCAACATATAATATTCTTACACAATTGCCACAAGAAACCTATCAATGTACAGCATTATCATTTAATAATGATCGTCTTGCATGTGCATATGCTGATCGTTCATTAATTGAATATGATATACAACAAAATGAATATTCTGATTGGACACGAAAATATTTAAAACGTATGCCATTACAATGGTTTTCTGAACGAAGTCCAATAATAAATTTATTTTATGATACCAAAGATAAATTATTTGTTGTTGATTCAACTTATTTAAGTATTATTGAACGTGGAAAGAAAATGCCAGGTACATATGCGAAAATATTTAATAGTACAAATCAAACAAATTCACCAATACATGTTTGTAAACAATTTAAATATCTTTTACATGTTACACTTTTATCATCAACACAATTATTTGTTGTGGAATTAATACCATCAAGTGTTGAACAGTGTTTACCACCAGCATTAAAACGAAAACGTTTTGGTATTTAGAAAATAAGAACAGCACAAAAAAATATCTTCTTTTCAGGGTCTTTTTTTTTTTTGTTTTTGTTTACCTGTTTCAGTTGTTTTGTTTTTTCTAAATACATTGGGATGTCAATTTTTGTTTTTCTCATTGTGTTTTTAGATTAAAAAAAAAGATAAATAAAAAAGAAAAAAATTATGGGTGGTGTCACACAAAAAATGACTGATACTGTTAAGAATGTACCTGGTTTGGGAACAACAGGTATTCATGCTGTTGCAGTACTTACTGATCCGAGTAATGGACAAGTTTATGGTCATGTTGATTTTGTTGAAGCAAGTGATGGAGTAGTAACTGTTAGTGGTGAAATTAAAAATATACCTGATAAACAAAAACGTGGTTTTCATATACATGAATTTGGTGATACTAC